TAAAATTGAAAGAGAAACAATATTTATTACACCTAGAAATGTTCCCAGAATGCCAAGGGACAAGAAACTACTAAGAACAAGAACTGTGCCGGTTAGAATCAGTAAAGAGCCACAAATTTGAACATGATCAGCACACAGAACATCTGCTATGGGCTGGCTTGAAATTGCCTTCTCAAACCTGTCCAATAGAATTAGAAAAACAAATTCAAGAAAAAAATTAGTTGCTAAGAAGATGAATATAAGAAAAACACACAAGTTTCCAATTTATACGTTTTTAAGGATTACAATAGCTACTTCATCAAAGACTGTTTGAGACTACTCCAGGTGAGGTAACTTCAAAATGTATTCATACCTCCGTCCCCTATCCAACATAACATTATCAGTGAACTCTAGCTTACCCCTGGCCAACCCATCAGGAAAATAACTAAACAATATATTACAGCTTTTGAGCAAGCATAACTTTTTTTTCATTTGCATTTGATAATAGTGACATATTGTTGTTGAAACGTCAAGTTTTGATAGCATTGCTTTTCTTCAAGTTAAGTGTTAGACCTTCCCAGAGATGCCAACCTCTGAAGACTTAAAATCTGGAGACTCTGTTTTCCATTAGCCCACTACCCCCGGAAATTTAGGACATTATATCAAGTCTTACATGAAGTAGATACCATCAAAATTCGCGATCATCGTTTTGATGCCAGAAATAATCTTTGTCAGTGACTAAATAGGTGTAAAATGCCTCAGAAACAGTATTACGAACAAGAAAAATTCAAGTTTTGAACTAAAAATGGGCTAAATTTCAAACTAAGGCACAGAAAAGCTCAAAAGATGATTTTATCCGGGAGATAAAGCGACCCGTACGGGAGACCGGGAGATTGGTGTCGTATCCGGGAGACTCCCGGATAATCCGGGAGGGTTGGCATGTATGCCTTCCCCTTTCAGTTATATACCAGGGGCATTTGAAACTAAACAATGTTGGAAATAGTATCCATGAGTTATACTTGTAATCTGTTTTACCTGTAGTCTCTGAACAGCCCAAGTAGGACAATAACAACAGCTAGCATATAACATCCTCTTTTGGCAGAACCACAGTAATGTGTCAGGGAATGGGTTCTATATTCCCAGCGAGCAACCTGTTCATTAAAAAGCACAAAAGTTTAAACTCACTGATCAGCATTAAGCAAAAACATAACATCTCAACTTCGAAAAAAGGAAAAACGCACCTTCATGGTTGTAATGGACAACTTATAGCACTGATCAAAAATCAAAGAAATTTTTCTTTTCATGGAGAGTTAAGGATATTATCACTCAGGATTAATTCTCATGATATTTTGACAAATTCTCCCCACTACTTTTATAAGAAATATATGGGACAAGAAAGGAGAACTTGGATTTTAAGGGTTTACTGCTTTAATATACCCTACCTTTCAAGCTGGCACATACTTTAACATAGCCCATATATAGCAGTGCAACCCACCCCCTCTTCCAGGATCCTGATTAACTGAGATTTACAGGTAGGGCTCTACTGTAAAAATATTACAAAGTAAAAACTAAAAACGTAGTTTGATGCTTACAGCATTCCAAAACAAAGGATTGAACATGATACAAGCAGCAGCTAACCAGAGATCAGAGTTTCTCCAAGTGATTGGTATATCCTTGACTATCCCTCCAATATCTAAGTCCATCTTGACCAGCAACAGAAAAAAAGTTAGTAAATTTGTTCTGAATGAAATCTAGGTTATGATATATACCTAAAATCATCATCATCACATTTTTCAGCCTCATTAAGTACATATATAGTAGCCAGTTAACATTTTACAAATGTAATTGCAAAGCTTTGTCATTCGCTGATGATATATGTTGAAGCTAACAATCAAACAATCATACTGAATCATACAGTGCATCTAATATTAATCAGAACAACTGCTTTTGCCATTGAACTAAGACCAAAGAATAAGCGAAAGAAAGAACCACTGAAAAGTTCACAGTCTTTTTCGGGCCTCACAGAAACACTGCATCTGACAATACATAACTTGCAACGCCGAATTTCAACTTTATAATGCGAAAGCACTTCTCCGCTTGATCGTTTTTTGGTTCGTACGGTGTTCATAACTCTGTGCTGGGATGTCTTGCATTCTAGTCACCAAATATGTATGGAAAAAATAAAACTTACCTCAGTGAAGTTTAAATTTTCGAAGACTTCACAACAGGAGAGCAACCACTCCGCCATAAATGCAATTAGCGACAGGCTTTTCTTCCCCGCTCGTTCAAGTTCCCCTCCGCCAAGTTTACTATATATGTCACGTGGTCAAATGCCCACAGGGCGGCTGCAGCTGTACCTTTGGCCCACCCTGGGGAGTATTTATTACCTGGATGCCCGCTTTGATTTTTATTTTTCTTCTCTGCGCAAAACCCGACTGCCAATTCACAACTGTTTAATTGTGTATGTGATACTTTCCCCCAGGTTTATAGTGTCGTCACGCAACGCACCTCCCCCTGTGGGGAGGAGCGTTGCGTGACGAGACTAAAAACGGCTGTGTAGCAGACTAGGTCAGCAAGGGCACCAAGGCCACGAAATCTGAGTGTCGATTTTGTCCCCGATCTGACGCCATAAGAAAGTGAGCTCAAGTTGCTTTGTGCAGCTCGGAGTTATGTTTCTCCCCAAGGCGGGCAATTCAATTAAATTTTCTGTTATTTTCTTGTCGTTTTGTACGTGATTAAACCGCCGGAAAGATAACCCATATCTCTGTGATCACTACGAAGGCGAAATAACAAGTTCAGAGACTAAAATAAAGTAATGGCAATGAAACACTTGGGAACATTGCTTCAGCAGTGATAGATAGACTCTGTGTTCTTGGCTCCGTTTGGTTAATTTACTAGCCTGCGTAGCAGGCGCTTGGAAGTAGCGGGCGAAAGAGAGAACGGGCGCGCGCGAGGGAGACACGCGCCCGTTTTTTCTTGTGCCCACTACTTCCAAGCGCCTGCTACGCAGGCTATTAATTTACTAATTTATAATTTTGCAATTTAACCTAACTTTTTTTAGTACAAAAAATAGACTTCGAAATTATTGCGAGCCTGAGGGCTAAGTTAACTGCGAAGTCTACTAATTGACCCCCAGCCATTTTTATGAGCCAGTTTAGTTAACAAGTAGACCATGGAAAATTGTGGTCGATTTGTTTTTTATCATAACATTTATTTTTTTACAAAAAACCAAAAACAAAAAAAAAACCGGCACTGCGTGGCATGTTACGTCACTTTCATCGTCTGTACTGTCGTAGACCATAGCTCTCGATCAATAAGAGCGCGAGGATGCGTTCAGTTATTGTAAAATTTTTAAATACATGATTGTTGAGTTGACACAAAGATGTAGTGAGACAAACTTCAGTTCTAACTAGCTATAGGGCTAGTTTTTGTGTTGTGATCAATGCTATCTCCCTATAATTGTTGCGATTTCCATGAATGCTAAAATTCTGATAAAAACTTGGAGCAATTCTTATCACCATGCTTTTAAAACGATTTCCTTCAAATGCATGATAGGTTGTCCATCATAGCGTGTCAAAAGCTAAAAGTCAAACAGAAACTAGCAACATGAATCCAGTGAGTCACTGTATGTATTAATTTATGTCAGTTAATGCTTTGGGCTTGAGTATTCTGACCAAATGGAGTGTATCGACGTCCGGGAAACCATAAGTTATTGTTTACAAAATGTCGCAAGTGAATTTGAAGAGCTGCGTACATTATAGTAAGATATTGCATTGAAATTGCTTTAGAGGGCACGCGTTTACTGGGACTACATCAACGAAAACAAATTCAGCAGGAAAGTTTATTAGTTGGATGACAGGTTGATCATACATACGATCTCAGCTGTTTTTGATCAGGTACCACTGTGAACAAGCGTGGGAACGCCAGAAAAAAACTCTCTGTGGTAACAGGTAATGATTCTCGGACCACCGAAGATAAGATTTTTAAATGCAAGGCGCCAAAAAAAATCCTTCTTCCTTAAGGAAGATATTAAGAACTAACACAGAAAACTGATACTTTCTACAAACTATTGGATTTTCCCTCTTTGTTTCTACAAACAAAAAGATCAGAATACGTAAATTGACAAGAAATTTGTGGTTGACCTTTACCTGTATGTTTATAAACAAGTTTTTAGGCACGCTATACTGGGGGCAAGAGAGAAAAAACACTGTTTGGTTAGCCTTTAGTTTAAAACCGATTGTTCAAATGAACGTATCTGTGTATAGATCAGGTACCACTGTTAAAAAGCGTGGGAAAGTAGAAAAATCTTTGCCATAACGGGTACCTTTATTTAAGAGCGAGCTTAATAAGTCAGATGAAGGCACGTGGAGGAAGATTTTTCACGGGAGGGGTTCTTCTTGTTTTCCCCGTACGTAGAAAAACGGATAAAAGTGTACAGACGCAGATCGGGTAAACTGGTGGTTTTATTCATTCGGAACATGTGCTTTATTAACAACTAACGCTCAAAGATTAAATGAGTGCAATACAGCAAGTAAACAAGCTGAAACATCTGTCTTTTGGCTCCTTACATTTAGGGAATCAGTTTAAGATGCCGGGACGGTGACGGCAAGGAGAACGTCAAAAAAGCAGTAGTCATAGACTAGCAAAACAACAACTTTGCATGTCAGTGCGGCACTTTTTTTGATACTGTGACGTAAACAAGCTACGACGAGATTTTCTTTCTTTTCCTGAACTCGGATGTGATTCCCAAGAATTCATCTCGAGGACAATCCGCCTTCTTTTGACAACTGAAGTAGGAAGTAAACTGAAATAATCGCGATGAAGATTGAAATAAGGCGAACTCACTCGGCTTTTTAAGAACCGTTTTTGCTGCTGTCACCGATGTGGTACCTTAAACTCCCTATTCTGTGGCTTGTACGTTTTTTTTTTTTTTTCTAGTCTCTCACACACGCACAAAGGTCCTGAAATGCGCGTATTAGCCAAGTCAGGTAGTGTTTGGCTCGCTCAATCTTGCGTTAATAGCTTCTGATAAATGGCAAAGAATCGTTACGAGTTTTGGAGCAGTTTTTAGTTTGGTGCGCCTTATTCGCCTTAACTTTTCTTTCCGTACGTACAACTTCAAACTCTGCTCGCGCTACGTCCCTGAAAGTGGTCAAATATTGCGTGTATTTTAATGCATTCCCTCGATTCTGTGATCAGTCAGACCTCTAAAAAACGTTTTAAAAAGGGTTCTAAAAGCGAACGCCATACTCAGGGAGATTTTTGCTTTCAACATTAATTAATTAATTATTGCTGTGCATTTTTTTATTTTCTTCTCTTTAACCCTTTCACTGCCAGAGTGTTTGATGGAGTTCTGTAAGGTGACTCTAACTTTTGATTCTGCGGACAAAATCCTGTGATGTGACCACTCAAATGAAAGCTCTCTGCCTGTACTTACACATGGTGCTATTTGTTTTTCAAAATTTCACAAAATGAAATCTGGAAATTTGGTCGAAATTTGCTTTCGGCTAAATTTGGCAGTGAAAGGGTTAAAGAGAAAAAAGAGGGTGATAAAAAAGAAATCTTCGGAGGAAAGACGACAATCCCACATGTGTAGTAGCTTGGCTTTTAGTAGACTTTACATTGTAGGACTTCAGTACTGTTCCTTATGGCCACAGCTAGCTCTTTCGCAGCGATCTAAAACGCCCGCCCCTAAAAATCTTTATTTTGAACTTTCGAGCACGTGAGCACCGCGCAGTACCTGCTCGGCGCATAGTGAATATGATCACATGCCGAATTGCAAGATACTGCGGTACCTGCTTTGATCACGCTAACTTGATCAGATGTTCTAGAACACTTGTGTTGCCGGTACTCTTTATTCAAGCAGCTTGACTGGTACAAATTGTAAGCATAACAAACCGGGAAAAACAGTGATCAGCTTTATTTTTTCACAGTGTACGCGTAGCACAATGAAAATTAGCCGAGCAAATCAGACCAAATGATCACGATCAATTGTTTAATTATCCCTCATAAACTTCTGATCACTTATCATAATTAAACGTTGAGAAGATCACCGCAATTTAGTTGTGGGCGTAGCTTTTGCAGTAACAAAAAGAAAACTCGAAAAAAGTCTTTCTGCGCGGGATTCGAACACGGCTCAAGGTTCGGTTCCCCCTTACAAGCCTGATTTGTTTTTCCAAGTTTTCATTTCGCGACTGCAAAAGTTGCGTCCACAACTGCCATGATCTTCTCTTATCTCTACGTTTAATTCTTCATCCCGCAGTTCTAATATATGATTATCATATATCGATTATTCTACCTGTGATTACGTTAGGTAAGCTAACACAAAGCAAACCCAGCTGATCATCGAACAGCAAATAAACAGAACGATTGTTGTCGCGGAAAATAGCATTAGCCAGGGGCACCCAACGACGGTTTCCTCCTAAATACATAAAAAAAACATTTTGAGGCTATCCAGAGTACTTTTAGATCTCGAGAAATACATTTTAAGCGCGCTATAAAATTTGTATCTGTTCTGTCATCCTAGGGAACTTGAGTCTTTTCGAAAATGCAAGGGCTTGAGTATTATTTTCCCGAAAATTTTAGTTGCAATTTGACGTACTATATATGAAAGTGAGAAATTTTCTAATCTCTCCCTCCGTCGCATTTTTAAACGCGAAAATTTTAGTTTTTCTTTTTTCTACAAAAAGTAGCCTAACTTGGGAAGTGAAATGTGAAAATCAAATTTCCGAAAATCGGAGAGAGTTTATTACATGCTAAGCTTCGAAAATTGTACAAACACCATTTGCAAATCTCCCATAATGCCCCTTATTTGCTTCCCCAAATTTTGCATAACCTTTGTTTTTCGTTTCTCCTGGGTCTGTTACAGCCGTCCCAAGAGAAATTGGAAAAGAAGCTCACGAAAAATTTTTGGGGGACAAATTAAAGGTGCATTATGGGAGTTGTGCAAGTGAAGTCAATGAAAGAAACGGTCATCTAGAAATTTTTTTGCTTTCCTCAATTAATAGAAAATTCTAGGCAGTATTTGTTTGTCCGAAAAGATATTTTACAGAAAACAGTCATTGGATGCATCTGATTAGCTCCATAGTGGCCCGTATAATTACTACGAACGAGTCACTTGCACATCGCTAGATTCCTCTGATTTTCCGGCCCAGACTTGTTTCGCAAACTAAAACCACCAATGACTTAGTTTGAAACAACGGAGAGTATGCAGCATGAACAAAATTTTTAAGAAAAGCGTGCAAAAGG